AATTTGCGGATTTTGGCTTATCTAAATAAGTGGTAGACTTTACTGGAGTATGTCGATGCTGAGAGTGATTACGATGTTTGTTTAAATTTTGTTCAGATTGAATAGTATCTTGTAACATCATATGACTAGATTCTTCATTAACTGGACAATACTGTACACGATGAGATTTGGTTATTAATGATATCAGTAAACTTTCTAAACTGCAAATGTATCCTAAAACCTAAAAACAAAATCCCACAACAAATATTTACCCTTATTCCTCAATGTTAAAAGTTGTTTTTTAAAGTCACTTAAAGACATTAAAACTTACACCGGTAGCTAACAAACGGCTCTTTGATCCTTTAGGAACCCACAAAAACATTTCAGAATGTATCATGTGAATTATTAACGAGGCAGACAGAATGTACATAAAACTTATGCACAAATACATTATGACATTCTGAAATAAAAAAAATACAAAATAAAATTTTTTTTAATTTTTTAAGAGTTAAACTTTTTTTTTAAAATTAATTGTTACAGTTTCTAAGATTGTTTATTACACAATAGAAAATATAAAGTAAAAAATAATATGTTACAGCATAAGCAAAAAGTATTTTTAAATATGTTTTAGCTGTTTGAGTGTAAGCCAGTTAATAAAAGTTATTTAAATCTTTTTAATTTAGATTCGAAATGAATATTTCTCTTTAAAAAAATTGTTCGAAACATATATATATAGTAAATAAAATATTTGAAAGAAAAAAATTTGTTTACCACTTTTCCCCAGTTAAATGGAAATAAATAGACAATATGTGATATGTCTAAGAAGAGAAACAAGCAGGTAACCAGCAGGCAAAATATTGTTATGAACATCATTAATCTTAAGCGACCAGCCAAAGGAAGCATAAATATACCAACTTTTACTGTGCCAGATGAACAAAGACAAGCCAGACAAGCTATACAAGTCACCTAAAAATGTATTTTGTCAGTAAGTTTCTTGTAAAGTAACTTACAAGTTTATTTATTTTTAAATTGTCAAAAGATTATTAATTACATCCCGAATAAATAAAAATAATTTTTCAGTTTAACTTACAACCAATAAAACTCTTAATACTCCTGTCATTGATTTAAAATGAGATTCATCACAATAAACAACCACTCCTGAAAATAGAGAACCATTCGGAGAATTGCCAGTATGGTGTCTGTAATTTGCATGAGAATCCCAAGAGTGAACAGTAACTGCTGGTGATTCTAAGTTGGCCACTCCTGTTCGACTACCAGCAATTTCAAAATCTTGAACATCTTCAGCACGGCAATTTGCCGGCTCTAATTCCCGTATTTCCTCCAGTAGGACGTCAATTTCGTCAGTCCCGTACAAATCAGATACCGATTGTATGTATTTCTCTGAATCGGCTTGCATGACCCGTCAACGTTTAAATTGTATTAAGGTAGGTTTCTGCCATGATGTGGGAGTAGCCTACCCTTTATTAAACGTATATTTTACTTTTATTACGTTAATTTTGACAGCACACGCTGATTATAATCCATGAAAATTTGCTTCGTAAATAAATATTTTCCCATAAAAATATTTAATAATACTGTTTAGATGCATTTCTGTATTTTAAACTCTAATTGAATTAAAACCGTTAAATTTAAATAAAAATGCTTCAATACTCTTCTGTATAAATTTTATAGAGAATTATTACTTTTAAAATTATACGCCGGGTAAAAAAATTGAAGATTAAATATCAACTGTACGTATATTCATTTATATAATTTAAAAGATTGACATGGAAATTGAAAAAAATTAAAATCGAACTGTATTAAATTGTGTTAACATACTTTAAAACTATCACATTTAAAATCACAATTTCCGAACTCAAGCAAATAAAACTGTTTTACAAGCCAAGCTTTAATGCTGACCCACGCCATTACTGTTGAAATAAAATGACAGCTTTTACAAATACTTGTTTAAAACCACATCAAGATAGAAATTTATTAAATTATTTAATAACTTTAATTTCTAATAAAGTATAAACAATGATTTTATTATTCATTATTGATACTTATAAAGGTTTTTTTTTTATTATATAAAAATACATAACAGGTTTATAATATTGACACGAGTCAGCAATTAAGCTTTGTTGTAAGAGTTTTTTATTCTATGACAATAATACAAATGGCTTTTGCATTATGATATTGGTCCGCGATAGAAAAGAAAATGCGATTCTATTTAACAAAATTAAAAATTATTCTAAGTTAATAATTCTCTAAGTTTTTTACTCTACAATAAATATTTAAAATACTGTATGAGATAATTTTCGTGCACTTTAATTACGTTAATAAAAATGATTTGTATTGTTAATTTTGAGTGAAGTATTTTGACAGTATATTACACAAAAGTATTTTTATAGAAAATAATCAGCAATGAATTCAGAAAAAGATTATGCTCCCCTTTCCCTTGCTTGTGTGCGAGCACTTAATGAAAAATTGTATGATAAACGAAAAGCAGCAGCTTTGGAAATCGAAAAGTATATATTTGACATTTTAGATCATTAATTTGTTAATTATAAAATAAACTATTTACATAATTTTTATTTTAAATTTTAGAATGGTAAAAGATTTTGCTGCAAGAAATGATACAGTTCAAATACGCAAAATTTTAAAAGTTTTAGGAGATTTTGCTACTTTTTCAAATGCTAATGCTAGAAAAGGTGGACTTATAGGTTTGGCTGCTGTAGCCATTGCTTTGGGAAAAGACACAGCACAATATATATCCAGTCTCATAACTCCTATTTTAGCATGTTTTTCGGATTCGGATGTCAAAGTTCGTTACTGTGCATGTGAATCTTTATACAATGTAGTAAAGGTTGCCAGAGGAGCTGTATTAGACCATTTTACTGAAATATTTAGTGGCTTAAGTAATTTAGCTACAGACCCTGATCTTGGAGTTAAAAATGGCTCAGAAACATTAGACAGATTATTAAAGGTATTGATTAAAAATTTTTTTTTTTAATTATTGGGTGATCTACTAAAGGAAAAAGAAATATTCTTTTTAGGATATTGTTACAGAAAGTACAACATTTGATTTAATTAGTTTTATGCCAATGCTTAGAGAAAGAATATCAACAAAAAATGATTTTGCTAGACAATTTATAATTTCTTGGGTATCTGTCCTTGACACTGTACCACATTTAGATATGGTCTCTGTCTTGCCTGACATTCTTGATGGTTTATTTAAAATTTTAGAAGATCCCAAGCCTGAAATAAAAACAATGTAAGCAATCATTTATCATTTTCTAAAAAGAAATGTCTGTTCCCTCTACATTTTTTGTGTCAATTTAAATTTATTCAAATTTGTTTTCAGTTGCAGTACATTGCTTCTAGAGTTTTTAAGGAGTATTAAAGAGGAACCTTCAAGAGTTGATTTTCAGGGAATGATTAATATTCTTGTTCAACATGCACAATCTCAAGATGATTTATTGCAATTTACTGCCATCACTTGGATCAAAGAGTTTGTGCAGCTTTCAAATAAAGATATGCTTCCTTATACCTCTGGGATTTTAATAGCTGTTTTACCCTGTTTGTCTTATGAGAATGATTCTAAAAGAAGTATCCTTTTTTATTAAAAGTCAGTTATCGAATTTTAATTGCAAAACTATGGATAATTATTTTTAACATTGAACAACCAATAAAAGTCCTCTTTTAATTGTGAAATTGGATTCCTTAAAATTTCTAAAATTAGATATTAAAGAAACAGCCAAAATAGTAAATTTTAGTTTAATGAAATTATTTACTGATGAAAATGATAATGATGCTTTAGATCTCAGTTCAATTGTTGAAGTACTCATGAAATTTTTATCACAAACAAAAGTACCCACTAAAGTGGCAGTTTTAAAATGGATTTATCATCTTCATTCGAAAACTCCAAATCAGGTTTGTAAAATTTTAATAAAAAAATTTATTTTTAAATGTAATCATTTTTAATAAAGTAGTATTTTAGATGTTTGATCATGTGGAGAAACTTTTTTTGGTGTTGCTAAAAGTTTTATCAGATTCTTCGGATGAAGTCGTTCAACAAGATTTAGAAGTTTTAGCTGAAATTGTTTCTTATCAAACGGATGGTAAATCTTCTGACCAAACATCCGATTTAAGTATGAATCGATATTTTCCAGAATTTATAAATAGTTTGTTGAAATTATTTAGTACTGACAGAAGATTATTAGAAGAACGTGGCTTTTTTATAATTAGGTAATGCAGTCATTAATAATTCTAAGTATAAAATATTTTTAAAAAAAAAAAGATTTAGTTGATATTTTTTGTGTTTTAGGCAGCTATGTACTCTTTTAAATGCAGAAGTTATTTACAAAGCATTTTCTGAAGCTCTTGTAAAAGAAACCAATTTAAAATTTATAAGCACAATGATTGACTACCTAAATACAATTTTACTCACTTCATCGGAATTATTTGAATTAAGAAATAAATTGAAAGATCTTGAAACTGAAGATAGTCGTGCTTTATTCGAAAGTCTTTATTATTGTTGGTGCCATAATCCAGTTGCGACAGTAGCTTTATGTTTGTTAAGTCAAAATTATGCTCACGCCTGCGAATTAATTCGAAAATTGTATCTTTTTAAATTCTTTACTATTTTTAGACTTGGATTTTTACTTATAATTATAAATTTATTGATATTATTTTTTTATAAATTTAGTTTTTTTTTTGTTTTTATTTTGAATAAAATGTTAATTCTTTAATTATGCAATAGCGGTAATTTAGAAGTAACGATAGAGTTTCTCAAAGAAATAGACAAATTAGTTCAGTTAATAGAATCTCCCATATTTTCATGTAAGTATATTTAACATTCACTGCCTATTTTCAAACTTTTTTTGTTTTCACACATAAAAATTATGGCGTTTTTTTATAGATTTAAGATTAGAGCTTTTAGAAGTTCCTCATAATCAACATTTAGTTCAAGCTTTATATGGACTTTTAATGTTACTCCCACAAACTGAAGCCTTTCATACGTTACGACAACGTTTAGATTGCATTCCCAGTTTGCATTTAAATGATTTCAGGTAACCAAAAAAAAAAAACTGGGTGTTATATAAACTACATGTAAAAATAAATGTTTTCAAATTTTTAAAGGGAAATAAAATATAAAAATTGCGGTTTTTTTTTACAGCCATCAAACCGAAAGAAAAAATAATAAAAATAATGACAGGTTTAATTATTCGGTACTCTTGGAACATTTTCTATCGATTCAAGGTCAACATAGTAGGGATAAGATAACTAGTCGAGCATCGGGTTTATTGGAAAGAGGCGTAAAACAACATAATTTGGATACAAACAATTAGTTTTAATAAAATTTTAGAATGCAAGCTTTTTTTTTATTATTATTATTATTTAATTATTAAATATTGTTTTACGTCAATTTATAATAATTAAATTTGTAAAGTTTTACGCATCAGGAATGAGTATATCAACTAAATGTTACGTGTGATATTTTACATTCGTTATTATAAATGTTAAAATTTTATATCCATATAAATTTATTGAATTTAAAAATAAAAAAAAAATTGTATATTTATATATTTTTTATTTGTTAAGTTATAAAAAAATACATATATATATATTATTGTAAATTAATTTTTATTATTTTGTGTTTCTGAGAAAAGATTTGATCCTGCAAAATATGTTTACATGTACGTATTGTGTGTAAAATTAATGCTTTTAACTTTTTAAAAAGGAAGTTAGCAAAAAAAAAAAAAAAAAAAACAGGATAAATTTAAAAACTAAAACTTGTATTTTTAACAATTTTTATAAATATTTTTCATATAATTTTCGTATTCTATTATTAAAAAATATAAAATAATCGTCCGGTTTAAAATTTAAATAACAATTTGTTTTATTTATCAGTTTGATCGTTATTTAACGGTAAATTTCTTAGTAATTGTTGAAATTCGTACACTAGTGAAGAATTATCTTTTAAATATAAGCTAATTTCATTTTGTATTGCAATCATATCACTCAGGCTATTCATAAACGATTGAAAATATTCCGTTTCGTTTTTCGCCGGTTTTTTTTTACCTTTTAAATCGAGAATCTCATTTTTTAATTTTTCGATTGTTTCTTGTAATTTAAACAAAGAATTTTTATGGTAGTAAGAATGTTTTGTGGCAAAATCTTCAAGACATTTTTCGTAAGCATCCACGTCTTTATCTAAAATCCTGGCTTGCAAGTAAACCGTTTGAGCAACTTTATACCAATCCGCTAATGCATCGGCCAATTGTGTAATTTCAGGCTGACACTCTAATTCTAGCAGATTTTTGAGTCTTTTTCCAGTTTCTCCGACTTTAATCCTTTCTAAAACATGAAATTGCTCATCGTTGTACGTTAAACTTCTCGACGCTCTATCACGTAGCAAATGTTGCCAAGAATCTCTTAGTCTTTCTACTAACGTTCTAGCTCGGGCAGGAGCCCTTGTTTCCATAGGACAATTGAGAGTTTTGACTAGTTTTACCCATTCTTGTTTTAACGTTTTTTCTACTCCGTACCTTTGATGCAGTTGCTGTATCGCTGGACCCAGCTCACTTAATAGTTCTCGACTTAAAACTGAAAATTCATTTGATAATTCATTACCCTTAAAATTATCATTTGAATCACTATACTTGATGGACATAAAATCAGTGAGAGCTTTAGTAGCTTTATCAGCTTGTACAGTACTAAACACAGTTCTTTCAACATATTTTGTCATTTCTTTCAATTTTTCACTTTTAGCTACAACCCTATCTAAATCATTGGAAATGGCTGTAGTGAATGATTGCACACAATTATGACAGAATTTACTAGCTTTAGAAATTTTTTCTATTTTTCTTTTACATACATGACCAACACTGCAGGCAACTTTACCCAAACTAGCATCACTTTCAACAGATATGGTATTTTGAAATGATGGAAATTTAGGGCCATCATTTTCTAAAATTACATTAACATTATTATTTTCTTTACTAAACAGCATAATTGGTTCCATTTCATCAAACTTTGGATATCCTTTGCCTAAAGTTGTTTCTTCAACTATTGACAACAATGGTTTTTCTTTCAATAATAAAATTTGATTTTGTGGAGTAATATCAGTTTGCTCTGTTAATAAATTTTGTAATTCATCATATGTTTCTTCTGGATGTAAATAAACTCTAATCATTTGAAGATTATTTACATGAAATATGTGAATTAATTTTCTTGATAAAATATTTGTTACTTCATTAAAAAATCTTTCAAAATTCCAAATCCTTTGAGGGTCAACTTCGAGTAGTCCACCCAGCAAAGGAGTAACCAATTTTTTTATACCTGCACTTAATTGACAATTATTAGGAAGCTCCTTACTCCATTCAATAGGCCCACTTTCTGTTGATTGAATGCCAGAAATTACCCCAGATGCTTTTTTTGCAGTTATGTAATACATAGTTTCCTTATTTCTTCTTCCTCCGTAGGGACGAAATGGTAAATTACCAGTTGCTACATGATATAATGTAACCCCAATTGACCACAAATCAACAGTTGCTCCAAAAGTTTTACCTACTGGTTTTTTTAAAACTGCCCTTTCATACATATCAGGATGTAAATATTCTTCTGTGCCATACAATGACATAAATTGTTGATCTTCTTCTAATTCTCTAGCAGCTCCAAAATCGGTTAATTTATAAATAGTAGTTCCATCATCAGAAATAAATTTCATTATATTACCAGGTTTTAGGTCTCTATGAACTAAATTATTATCTCTTAAATGTTTCATGCCAGCTGATAAATGTTCAACAACTAGTAAAAATTCTTCTTCTTGCAATCCATAAGTATTTTCTGGGTCATCTAAAATATTAAACAAACTTCCTCCAGTACAAAGTTCCATGACAATTACTTTTCCTCTTCCTTCCTGCTCTTCTTCAATAGCTAACAATTTGACAATATTTTCATGTTTAACTTTTTTTAGTACTTCAAATTCTCTAACTTGAACATCATGAGGTCTCATATGACTAATTTGATTAAATGTTTTCACTGCAACAGGTTCTCCATTATTTTTGTTGACTCCTTGAAAAACCGCTCCAGTTGCACCTTTTCCAAGGACACTAGTAGTACACCAAACATAATTTGCTGATCCTCTTAAAAATGACATGGCAAAAAACTAAAAACAAAATGTTTTTTTTTTTCAGTTATTAGAGGTATAGAGTAAAATAAAACAGAAATTTGAATGAGCTTCAAGGTATTTCAATTATATTTATTTATTTAAGTTACATTTCTAGAATTTTATTTTATTACATAAATTATAAAAAAAATTGTAAATAATTCTGTAAATAATTTTTTTAAAAATTAACACAAGCAAAATACTAAAATCACGTATTAACTTGTATGTAATGTCAAAATAAATTTATGTAGATTTCATTTTACTTACATAGTAATAGTAACAAAACTTATAGACAAAAAATGATGAGCAATTTTTTTATTGTACAAAGTTTAGAAGAAATTAACTGGTTAAAAAATACATTTTTTATTTGCAAAGAGTTCAATAATAAAAAAAATTACAATCCAACAATAGAATTAAGATTTATAAAAACCTGACTTTAAAAAAAAAAACAGATTTAAAAAATATTTATTATTTTTTAGGTAAGCAACAAATTTTATAGACATTTAATAAACATCTAACTTCAACTACTTTTATTTTTAAAAAAAAATTAAATTAAATTAAATTAAAATAAAATTATAATAGCCAGTCAGGTTCTAGGCTTCAGCTCAATAGGTTCAGATTAAAGTCATTCTAAATTTTCAAAAACATTGAATTTGTAATTGATAAAAATTTTGTCGCAATTTCTTCTTGGCGACATTTTTCTTTCAAGTAGTTCGTAAATTAGACACTGCAGCGCTTCGTTCTTTTTTTAAAAAAAAATTGTTTTAAGCCAGATATAATATGACTAATAAAAATAGTAATAAGTGATAACAGTTCAATTGCCCTACTAAAATTAAAAATTTAAATTTTTTTATATATATTTTTCATTATTATTGTGTAATGTTTATTGTATTCATTAAAAATAATTTTTAAAAATATTAATTTTGCGCAGAAGCATTTAAATCACTTCTTAATCGATTACAAATTCTTAACAAGGAGCGTCTTATTATTCAATGATCGCCATGACACTCGTGCACGATTGTAAACAAAAGTCTTAATTCTGTAATTTTTAAAAATAAAAATTTAACGAAAACAAATTAAAATCGTATGTGCTGCGTAAAAACATACTTAAAACATCTTTTTTTTTGTTTTCTATTCGTGTAGTTATTAATATATTGTGATACGTGTATTTTTATTGTGTATCCATTAGAAAACAACAATTTACTTTGCAACATGGAAATAAACGTAGAAAGGGAGTATAGTGCTTTAGGAGGACTTTTTCAACAAATTATAGCTGATATGAAGGTAAGAAAAAAATAAAATTTAATTATGTAAAAAAAATTTCTTTTTAAGAAGTATCCAATTGCAATCAATTAAATTATTTTAAAAATCTACTTAAAAGAATACTTAAAATAACATTTAAAAAATTTTCGAGCGTTGCTTTTTTGTTGGTTTTTTTTAAAAAATTAAATCTTAAATCCAATTTGTTAAGACTTGATTTATTTTTAAGTAATTTTTTAAAAAAATTTAATGCAGCAGATATACTATACTTAGTTTTTCATTTTTATGTTAATCATTTTTATAGTATTTTGAGGAAATTATTTTTTATTGAATACAAATCAAAAAAATATTTTATTAAAGCTTTTTACTTATAAATTTTTACAAAATAGTAATTTTAAAAAAATTTTTATTTAAAATTAGTGATTGATGATGACATAAAAATTTAACCGTTCACTCCATTATTTATTGTCTGTCCACTTTTTCATTTCATGTATTTGATATTTAAATATCTATAATAAATATTAAAAATTAATAAATTTTTTTTTTTTTTTTTTTTAAATATTTATTTACATTATACATCAAGTTGTCTGTATTATTTTTCTTTCCTTTGTTTAATAAATTTTTCTATTTTGCTTTATTCTGTGTAAAAACTTGAATTATTGCATTTGACCTTAATATTTATTATCCTCATGTTTAGGCACAAGTTTTGCAGTAGAATAATTTACTTAATTATTTAAATTGGTTGTCATTACTATTCGCTTAAACTCACACCACTGAATTCATAATAAACCATATTCGATTTAAAATATAATGTAAAAAAAAATTTATTCACTTATTATTTACATTCAAATTTTCAAATAATATATATATTAAGTGAATGTTGTAAAATTAATAATTCTATGTGTCATGGATACGATATTCAAAAAAAAAAAAAAAAATCAATAAGAATTACGAACATTTCGCACAGGAGTTAAGGACTAATAAATTAATTAAACAATTGTAGTTATTACTCTAAATTATTTACTTTATTATAAACATAATCTTTTAGTAAATATTAATTATTTAAATTTTGTAATTGTCATTTTATTAAATAGATTAATAGAAATGTTTAAAAAAATTATAATCCTTATTTTCACTCTTTAATAATAAATTTTTAAAAAATCATTCGAAGTGATTTTGTAAATTTCGGAAGATAACATTCATAAGTAGTATTCGAGTTAAAATATAAAATAAATTTAAAAAAATATAAACTATTAACAAGTTAAAATAAAATTTAAACTTTTTAGAAAAGTTGAATGAAGGAAAACTTTTTTTTAGCAATAGATGAACTTTCTGCATCCTTGATCTTAGTTAGTTAGTTTTATGGTATTTCAATTGGAAATCACTTAACTTAAAATTTTTAATAACGTTTCACGTTTTTTAGGCTTGCTTTTAAATAAAAAAAAAAAAAAAAAAACTTAATAGTCACAATATGAGACTGTGTCTTAAAAGGATAAATGCACTTACAAAGAATAATTTTTTTTTACTTGATTTAATTTATTTTTTTAAAAATGTAATTGCTTAGTGCGAATAGAATGACCCTTTAGGTTTTAACTTGAAACTTTTTAACTTATTTATTATGTATTCCTTTTATTTAAATAGAATGCTCAATAATGGGTAGTTTGAATTATCATCCAAACCATTTACTATTTTAAAATTTTTGTTAATTATCATTTTTTTTTTTCTAAAAAAAGACTAAAAAGTCCGATTTTAGTTTTAACGATAAACAGGAAAAAAAGAAAGAAAGAAAGAAACAAACAAAAAATAATTATAAATAAAAAATGACTAACTTAAAACAAAGCACTCATTGAAATATATATTTAATTGAAAATCCTTTGTTGTGTATTTTGTGCCGAATGAATAATAATAATAATAAAAAATGAATACAATGAATTTTTATATATATATATATATTGTTATGAACCCATATCAAAAGTGATGTATTTTTTGTTAAATGTCTGGAGATAGTGACTCCATTCACATGTTAGACGCAAAGTCAGCATGTCTGGAGATAGTGACTCTATTCATATCGCAGACACATAGTCAGCATTTCTAGAAGCTTCGCTTTTCTAATCTTATCTTAATTGCTAGTGAATGAATAATGTCTAGCGATAGTCAGAACTTATAAAAGGAGGCTGAACGTCTCAGCCATCGGTTCTTGTTTCTCAGGACTTCGTTCTTGTTTCTTTAGACTTCGTTCTTGGTGTTCGACTCTTAGTTCATCGGTTTCTCCTGATATCTTAGAGTTCAACTTGTGTCTAGGACTAGTTTTGTGATTGTGTTTACAACTAGTAGTGTTCATAACATTATTTTAGTGACTAATTTGTTCTGTACATGTAACATGTTGTAAAATGTTCTTCTGTTGCTTACAATCAATATAATTCTTCTTTCGTTAAAAGTGTGTTCGATTTCAATCTTGAATAATACCACGAACGCGGAGGAAGATCAACGTTGTGAATCGATAATCGAATCGGGCCACGACAATATATATATAAGCTGGAAGATAATTTCTTTTTATCTTCAAGAATTTAAACATGAAAATTATACGATGTCGACGAAGATACCAAAAAGGTCACACACGTTCACGAAGAGAAATGAATTCGTTTGTTTGTGTTAGAGTCACGTGATGATTGCAAAAGAGGAGCTTTTTTTTTTTACAAAAAATAATATATGAATAATTTAACGCCATTAAGAAAAAAAAAATAATTTAAAAACTTATGAAAGTTACGATTGAAAAGACTTTTTTTTTTTTTTTTAAATATATAAATCGTACACGAGATTTAGAAAAAAAAAAAAAATTGTTAACAATAAAGAGTAGTATTAAATAATAATTTGTTTTTTTTTTTTTTTTGAACTCTTTTTACTTCCTACTAAAAGTTTCCATTTAAAAAAAAATTATTATTATTATTATTGTTGTTGTTGTCATCATCATTGTTAGTTTGATTAATTTTTTTTATTTTATTTGGTATTTAATATTTTAAATTTAGTAAATAAAATAATGTATTTGTTTCAGAATGGAACTCCATTATGGGAAGACTTTATAGCAAAAGCTACAAAATTGCATTCTTGTCTTAGGTAAGGAAAAAAAAAAATTATTATTATTATTCAGTCAATCAATCATTCATCAAAAATTTTTCTCACTATAATTTTTATGCTTTCACTCAAAAGTAATTTATTTAAAAAATAATAATAATAATAATAATAATAATAATAATAATAATAATAATAATAATAATAATAAATGGTCAATAGTTTAAATTAATTTTTTTTTTTTTTTTTTTTTGATGGATTTTCACGACTGACCACCATTTTACGTACTAAATTTTTAATTTATTAATTTTTTAAATTGTTATAATTCGTGATTGGAAATAAAATCAATAATAATTTATCGATTATTTGTCTATTTGCTTAAAAAAAAAAAAAAATGAATTTTTTTTGTTTTTTTTTTAGAGCAACCGTCCAAGCTATAAGTGCATACCTGGATTCATTTCAAAAAATAGCTGATGCGGCTACAAATGCCAGGGGTAAGTAAATTATTTAAACATTTTATTTATTTATTTATTTTATTTAATGGCTATGGTTCGTTTGATTATTTCGTTTTAATAAAAATTGCCTTAAAATGAATGATTTTATGAAATTCCTCTCCCCCTCCACCCTCCCTTCCCCTTTTCAAATACGTTTTACCGAACGAACTAAAGGAAAAAAAAAAGAATTTGCTGACAAGATTAATAAGCAAAAATTATTAAATTAATAAATTATTATTATTATTATTATTATTATTATTATTATTATTATTATTATTACACTAATTTAAAAGAAATAAAAACTCGTTTTTTAATATTTCGGAATAAGCATTTTAAAAACATTTTTTTTTTTTTTTTTTTTTATTATTTTCGCAATTTTTGCATTTTGTGTGTGTGTAATTTCGATCCTGATTTAATATATATATATAAAAAAAAAGTTAACTGATATTTAAAATCACGCTCAAAGGTCAAACCTTAAGCCTAAAAAAAAAGATAAAAGATATAATTTTAGTGATATAACGCTTTTTTTATATTAAAAAAAAAAAAAAAAACAAAACAAAACATAACGTACGAAAACAAATTTAGTTATGACCAAATTATGTTTTTTTTTTCCTCAAGTGAAAAGAGAAAATGAAATAAATCATAATAATATTAATATTAATTATTAAATTTTAATAAATAAAATTTTTTATTTGTTTTTTCGTTTATGTATTTATTTAAAAAAAAAAAAAAAAATTGAAAGGTAAAAAGGAAAGGTCGTTTATGATTGGGTGATATTTTACATCCTGGAGCTTTAATTTTTTTTTAATATAATATTTCATCAGGAAGGTTAACTATATACTATATTTTTAATATTATTTATAATATATATTATTATATTATTTTAATATTAAAACAGTATAAAAAATATGGATGATGAGGTTGACAATTTAAAACACACAATTTTTCTCATTCATCATCATTTTCAAGTAAGAAAAAAAAAAATAATAATAATAATAAATGAATTTTTTTATATATAAAAATTTTTTTTTTTTTTTGCATCATCCATTATTATTATTATTATTATTATTATTGTTCACTATTAAACACGACAAGGCTCTTATTTGTCGGGGTTTTAAGCATTTATCCCAGGTTTCTACCCGACGATTCCTTAGGGATAAATACTCGAATTTCGGTGGTGCTATTTATAGAGTATTTTCCGAAGAATGTGGGCCGTCCCACATAGTGCGATTTCCTGGATGGTTTCTTCTTTTAGGTTCTTCATAATCTTTTATTATTATTATTATTATTATTATTATTATAAAGTTTTTTTCGGTTGCTTTTTTTTTTTTTTGACTGGAAAACCGAAAAAATTCGATGGAATTTTTTAAAACATGTTTTGGTCGTATGAAAAAAAAACTGACACGTGGATCGTGGATTTTTTTCTTCCTTCTAATTTTGGATTTTATTTCCATGTTTATTATTATTATTATTATTATTATATTTGAATTTAAAAAAAATATATATCATATCATCGGGGATTCGTGTTGAATGGTGTAAAAGAAATATAAAAAAAAAAGAAAAAAATGTGAAAAAAGAAAATTTAAAAAAAAAAAAAAATTGAATTGAATTGAATCGAAGGCGTTTTATGTTTGTTGGTTAATCGCCCTTGAAATGAAAACTGTAAATTTTTATTATTATTATTATTATTATTATTATTATTATTATTATTATTATTATTATTATTATTATTTTAAACCGAAGAAATGGGTTTTTTATTTAAAATGGAAAAATCATTCGACGGCGGTGGTAGTCATTATTAGAGATTTATCATTATTATTATTTTTTTTTTGTTTTAGGCATTTTAATTTAATTACAATATTTTTGGTCTGTTTAATTTTTGGGTCAAAAGAACTAGCCGTGTTTTTATTTATTTATTTATTTATGTATTATTATTATTATTAGTATTATTATTGGTATTATTTTGCTAGAAATGTGAAGGTCGAATTGTTGTTTTTACATTTAATTTTTATACAAACATACATTCATCAACAATCATGTATTTGATTTGATTTGATTTGATTTTTTTTAAACAAAACGTGAATTAATTTTTTTTTTTAATTTTAAATTTGAATTAAATTTAAATTAATTAAACCACGTTTTCATATTTCCCATGCATTAAAAAAAAGAAAAAAAGAAAAAAAAAAAACCAAAAAAGTTTTTATTAATTTTTGATGAATTGTCTGCCATCTTGAATTTCTTCTTTAAGTTTTTAAATAAAAAAAAAAAATTTTAATAACTAATGATAATAATAATAATAATATAAACGAGTATGTTTAAACAAAAAATAACTTTTTATAATTAATTAAATTTCAGGTGCGACAAAAGAAATAGGTACGGCTTTAACTCGGATTTGCCTTCGACATAAAGCCGTAGAAGCTAGAATGAAAACTTTTACAAGGTGAGTTTTTTTTTTTTTTCTTTCAAGGAAGAAAATTTAAATTTTAAAAAAATTGGCGGGAAAATTTTTTTAGAAAAAAAAAAAGTTTTGCAAACAATTGCATTACATAAAAACAAAAAAAAAAAAATTAATGGATGAAAAGATTAAATTGTAAAAATTATCTTATGGAGATTTTGTAATTGTTACAAGGCAAGTAAGTTTGGATTTAAATTTTAAAAAAAAACAAACAACAAACAAACAAACAAAGAAACAAACGTAAAACAAAGGTTTTTTTTTTTAAAATAAATTTACATTATTTATTTTATTTTTATTATTTTAATTATTTTATTAATTTCAGCGCCATTATGGATTGTCTCATATTGCCTCTACAAGAAAAATTGGAAGACTGGAAAAAAATTGTTATTAATTTAGATAAGGAACATGCCAAAGGTACGAAACGTGTTTCCCCGCCCCCCCCTCCCCCGGAAAATTAATTTCGTAATAATAATTTATTTGTTTTTAATCTCCCCCACCCCCACCCATCCCCTCCAGCCACCTTAATCCCGATTTGAAAAATGCAAAAAAAAAGATTTTGCTTAGATTAAGCTTACGACGTAATCAAATTATTATTATTATTATTATTTTTTTTTTTTTTAAATAAGCATTTTTTTAATAAATAAATAAAAATTTATTTTTATAATTTTTCACTTGATTTATAATTGAAATTTAAAAAAAAAAAAAAAAAAAAAAAAAAAAAAAAGCAGGAAGGATCTCATTTAGGGGGAAAAAAAAGAGGAGGGACACGCATCGGCAACACACACAAAAGAAACAAATAATTATTTATTTTTTATTATTATTATTATCGGAAAAAAAAATACGTTATATGTCAATTGATTGTTTGAGTGAAAGGGAAAAAAATGCTTTAACAAATAATAATAATAATAATAATAATAATAATAATAAATACGATTATCAAATCAATTTTTTTTTGTTTTTTAGAATATAAAAAAGCTCGAACTGAATTAAAGAAAAGATCAACGGATACGTTAAGATTACAAAAAAAAGCTAAAAAGGGGGGGAAATGTGGGGAACTTCAAAGAAGAGTAGAAACATCATTACAAGACGTTACTGAAAAGAAACACATTCTCGAAGAAACGGAGAAAAAAGCTTTGAGATCCGTTTTGATTGAGGAAAGAAGTCGTTTTTGTGTTTTTGTTGGATTTTTTAGGCCCGTAGTCGTGAGTGTGTTGTTACTCTTTGACAAATATGAAATTATTTATTTATTTATTTATTTAAAAAAAAAAAATTTTTTTTTTTTTTTCCAGCGTGAAGAAATAGCCATGTTGTCGGAATTGACTCACATACAGGAAATGAGCGAACAATTGGATAAAATCAGTGCGGATCCTCACATTTTACCCCCCGCGAGCGAACAAGTCATACAAGATCTCAAAGGTTCGGATTGTTTTTGGTCTTTTCAAACCCCACCGAGCAGTCCAAGTTCTCTCGGTTCCAGAAAATCAAGCATGTGCAGCATAAGTTCATTAAATAGTTCTTCCAGCGGGAGCAGCAAATGTCATAATTCACCTAATCATTATTGGCAAAGATCAATATCTCAAGTGAGTTTTGTCTTCAGTTTCCATTTCATACTTTGCACATTTAATGTCGTTCATTAGATATGAAAAAAAAACTTAAATCGATGTAGTAGCATAAACATTTTTTTTTTTGCTTTTAGCTTAAAACATTTTTAATAAATTAATTTTTATCATCTTTTTCCCCCCCCCCTCTCTCTCTCTCTCTCTCTCTTTTTACATCACGTGGAAAATGTTTTGCAATAATTAGAATTTATCAGAGTTTTAAATTAAATATCATATTTTTTAAATTCAGGCACAAATTCAGGCATGATCGATTGATGATTTAATTAGTTTTATGTTTATTGTTTATATAAAATGTTGCATCAAATCGTTGTTGTTGTTTAATTTTTTTTTTTTTTTTTATTAAAATTTTTACACGATAATTCTTATTTAAAAAAAAATTTTACGACGTTTTGTCAAAAAATGTCTCCTCGTTAGCATCCATTTTTTATTAGTCGCCATTTATTGTAAATATATTTTTTTAAAATGCTTGTAATTAGTAGTTTTTGAATTTATAGTTATTGTGATAATTTGTGTGTAGAATGATCCCTTATCTGTAGGCGTTTTTCCTCGCCTATCGAGTATCTCATCTCAAGATTCCGGATTTAGATCTCAAGACGCTTTGTTTCTTAAACACATACCATCGGATACTCAGGTAAAAGTTATACACGTCATTTACTTTTAATATTTTATTTTTTTTTTAAATTAACAACTTATGTTTTCTCAATTTCAGGTGTCAAACACGTCTGATTTGGGTGAAAATAAAAATAATAATATTTCTGCTTCAAATGTTGTTGATTCTTCAGCAGCTTCCATCAATTCCACTTGGCCCAATTCTCAAGAAACTCTTCAGTTTGAAAGGGCGGCATCTGCCATTTTAAAAGAAAGACCTCACACCATATCGTCAGGTTGATTTAAAAAAAAATTTTTTTTTTTTTCCTTTTTTAATAAATTTTTTTTAAAATTGAAAAATGGGAAAAATTTTATTTAATTTTTAGCATATGAGAGAGGTCATCAACGGCCTTCTCTTACCGTTTACACATTCCGGGCACCCGAAGCAAGTCTTTCACAGCCTACCAGCCCAGTGTCTTTGACTACAGCAGTAAGCGATTCAACTTCTTCTGCAAGTCCTCCAGTTTTGTCAAATAGCAGCACTCCTCATGTCTCTCCGCAGTCCGTCTACGGCAGACCTCCTATACCTCAACGTTGTTCTTCCCTCGAACGTCCAAACATTCCATCTAAAAATACATTACCTAATGGACAAATTAAGACTGATGCAATTAAAACAGGTCTTTCTAAGGTTCAAACTCGTTTGCAGCCTGCAGGTATTAATCATAAAAAAAATATCATTTTGTTTTATTTATTTATTTATTCTTTTTGTTTGATTGAAGTAATAATGTGCATGCTTTTTTTTTTTTTTTAAGACCCACTTCAACCTCCCATGTATGTCAATATGAGTGAACTTGCTACATTGGCAGCTTCTAAGGCTCAAGAAATGGCAATAAGTTTACCTCCTCCTCCTCAGGAGCTCACAGACTCGATATATGAAAAAATTAAAAATGTAGATGACGAGGGGCGTTTAAATGAAAATTTAATTGATTCTTCTGCTTCTTCTTATGAACATGGAAATCACAATATTTATTCTCAAGATGATAATCCAAATGGAGGTAGTTAAGAAAAAAAAACATTTTTTATTTAATAACGTTTAATAAATAATAAATAATGGATAACTATTATTTTTAAATTTTGAAACAATTTGTTTTGTACAACATGTTAAAAATATGACGCATTTTTTAGCCCCAGGATTTATTGGTGGAAGTATAGCTGGTACCTTGCCGAGAAAAGGAAGTTTTGGGGGTTGTAAACCTCCTCCACCGGTACGTAGAACGGCTTCTATATCAAGTACTTCAAGAAAACCTCTGATAGGAAACTGTGAAACAACTGGTAGTCTAGACAATT